AAGATTCCGCACGCTTTTTCAGACCGCCCAGTTGTTACAACTGCGGCCCCAGCTGAGCCACTGTTAAAGTATGGAATCTTTGAAGATAAAGATGTGAAATTTTCTCGAACTTCTAAAAGTTCCAAGTGCATTCATTTTTTTAGACCCCTATATCGCTGAAATCAGGCTCAGAGCACCAGAAATTTAACTGTTTTGTTCGTCAGTCACTTAGAGTGCATCTACAACTGTTATTATGGGAACAAGAAATGTGGCTTAAAGAAGATTAATGACCGCGGCAGTTCAACGTTCCCTGAATGTTGCCTCTGTCAAGAGATCAGTTTCTCAGTAGTTGTAAAAAAATTCAGCAGAAAATGTAGTGCTATTTCAACGCATAGCGATTATTGAACTGTCTTCATATAACATCGATAGTTAAATGCTAACCAGTTCAAATTTCTAATTGTTCCAAAACATCTCTTTATTATACAGTTGCGTTCAAATACAAAATACTGTTTGTGTGTTTAGTCTCGTCAAAACAGGTTTGGATTTACTAGTAAAACTGCGAATAGAAACTTCAAAATGGAAACTATCACTCTTGTTTCGGGGTCACTATTGTTGTCAAAATCTGGTCTCTTTTACTGTACTTGAAAAATCCAATTGTACAGTCAGTCTTTTTAATAAAAATGGGTGTCATTTCACTAATGAAAGCTTCTCAAACGGTATACCGCACATTGCTTCTTCACAAAAATAAACAAATCTTAAAAATTATCTGTAACTGTAGATGATCAACAAATTTATACTTGTCTTTTACACTTCCGATAAGAATTCTATTTTTTTTTCTTTGTAGATTTCTAGCAGTTAACTTTGAACTCTACTTGTGTAGAACAGTTCTCTGTGCAGCAATATAAAGCAGTGTACTGCATGTACCGCATATTATTTCGTGGAACTATTGCTTTTTAGCTGCAATAAGTTGGTACAGTCTTACAGCAGTATTTTTAGTGGCGTTGTAATAAGCCATGATTCTTGGTAGCTGCTGAAGAATTTTTGCTGATCTTATCGTTATTTGCTGTCTTTTATCAGCTATATTTCTATCTGGTCTCGTGATTAAAACATGTAATTATGACATCAAGAACTACCGTCAAGTCACACTGTCTTTTTTAAAATAAATACTGCCGAAACTAAGGAGATATGTGATGGAGGCAATTTTTACGGTTCTTAATTTTTAAATCTCTATTGAGTCTGACTTTTGCAGCTACCATTAGGAGTGTTTTAAAATAGTTCAGTTTTCTCTGTTTTGTAATGATCTTATTTTTCGGTAAACAAATGCTTTTGACTTTCATTGTATTAGTGAAAGTAAAAATTTTGAGATGTATTTTGCGCTCTTTCTCTTAGATGGGATTTTACGCTTAGTGAAACTTTTTTTTTTTTCATTCCAGCTATATATATTATCATCTACTTTTTATCGTCAGTTATGGTAAGCAGATTTTTTTCACTATTTCGCCGGCAATTATTTCGGTCTGGCAAAGACAGGAATTTGTATAACTCAAAACTTACAGAGGCGGAACAAAGAGTGATCAATGAGGAAACTCGAGCTGAGTCTGACGCCAAAATATCAGTTATTGTTTTTGTTTATCTTTTTTTTTCCTTATCCAACGTAGATATACGATCTTTTCGGTGAATTGGAATTAATCAAGAAGTAGAAGTATTTTAAACGAGTATTCTTTTCTTCATATTTACATATGTGCATACATATATTTGTATCTTGGTGAGAAGTCGCAAATTAGTAAATACGTAAAAAAATTTTGCCGTGCTTTTAGGTATTTAGTCAAGAAAGAGTTAAACAGCTTATTAGACTTGTGGAATCCCAGACTGAGTTGAAGAAACATCATAGTATACCGTTTGTGCCGCAGCAGTTGGAAGCTGTTGCTCAACGTGGTCAGTAAACTTTGTTTTCGTTTTCTTTTCCCGACATCTCTAAAAATGTCTCATAACTTTCAAGTTTGAACGAGACCGTTTACCAACCAAGTGGTCAGGTTACATGTGACTGTCGTTCGTGTTTGGTGGTGGAGAAGTGTGCACCGAAATTACTATTTTTACTAAGACCTGTATTGAAACGTTTAACTTGAGACGTAACTAACGTTGTTGCGTTCCTATTATTATCGTTGAACGGAAGAACTCGTTTTGCATTTACATTAAGAACTTTATTTTACAGGTTCAAAAGCGAAACTAAAAAGATATCAATGGTTACATGGGGACACATCAAAGTACAAACGGTTTTGACGAAGTTTGTAACTATTCTGAAATAAATGTAAATAGTTTTGGAACGGTGGGTTTTATTACTAAATTCGATCGTTTGGGAAATCGGGTTGTAGTTTTTTGCTTTTTATCAGTTTATCTGTATGGGCGGCAGTGTTCCTTACTTTTGAGTCTTTGTTACCTCTTGTAGTTTCTTGATAATACCTCTGTAATTATTGTGTAGTAGTACGGACTAACCGTTGAAATTAGTTTTGCAAACAGGCTAGTTTCCTGCACAAGGGTTTGTCAAAGTAAGTATATCTTTGGTGTTAACTTTGTTTTCAGTGAAGTTTAGAAACAGTAGAAGACTTTAAATCCTTTGTTTAGAGGCCGGTTTCAAAACTTCTGTAAATTTCTGGATTTTTTTATTTTTATGATCGTTTTTGAAAATATATCATCTTTTGTCATGCTCCACATTGTATGTCTATATAACGTGATTCTAGGACCTTAAAACTTTTATCAGGAAATATTTTGGTTGCGTGTCTATTGAAAGAAACATACTTGACTTGGTGGTTGAGCATTGCACTGATTATTCTACACAATTGTCGTTTGTGGCAAATATTATTGATTCTCCGGTATGGAATAAATATTGCAGAATGCCCCTATGTCACACCAAGATACTCAAATACATTATTCAGCAAGTATGCCTGATTGCTCGACTTTAATTTCATTCGTTTTTTTTCATCTACGTAGGAAAGTCATTTGAAGCGCTTCTGCAAATTTGGCCTAACAACTAAACAAGGTTATTTATCGGGTGGTTCGGTATTTGCTAATTAGTTTCACTTTGAATTAACTACTTTTTGATTCAGTTGGAAAGCAGAGAGGTTGAGGTATGCGCTGGCATGTATAGTAGCTTGGTGACGTCACTGGATACCCAAAATCAGTTTGGTCATCGGGTATATTTCGATAGGAATTTTAAAAAGTTTATAGCTTTGAAAGAAAAGACAATGCAGCTTTCAAATGGCACTACTGGGCTGTCTTGCTGGCAGGTATACAGGATTTCAGTTCTTTGCTTGTGGAACTTTCTAGGTTGCATAGTTTTTTAGACTTTTATAGGCTTCATGTGATTTAGCCCATTACCTGTTGGGTGTTGGTGGGTTCCTCTTACAAGATGAGGATGTAATAGAATTAGGTGCTGGTTGCGGTTTAGTAGGCATTGCAGTAAAAGCATCAGGTCGAAGTCGGAGCGTCACTCTTACTGACTGTAACTCTGAGGTTCTACATATTCTTACAGAAAACTGTCGTAATAACTTTCGTGAGGTTACTCTTCTCTTCTTTATACTTAGAACTACCTCAAATCGTTTTAAGGATATAGTAACTTCGAAGATCTTATTTTTATTTGGAAATCATTAGCAGTAATATTAGGAAGTTGCTGAGAATCTGTTCGTGGAGCATTTGGATTGGAAGGATTATGACAGCAATTCCTTTTCAAAAAAATACGGGCTGGTTATCGCATCTGGTAAATTCCTCTATTTCTGCCCAAAATTTTAACGTCTAGGTACATAATGATAAGAACATCGTCTTAATTGTGGTTTTGCAGATGTTATGTTTGACAGCGACTTGGCACAACCGCTTGTATCGGTAATCTGCGACCTTTTAAATAATTCTTCAGAAAAGAAAGCAGAATGCATTATGGCTAATGTAAAACGGAATCCAGAAACCTACTGTGCTTTTATCACGGAAATTAGTAAGTTATTCGTTTCTAGTAAGTAAAATATCAATACCTTCTTTTTTAGAAAGTTAATTATCAACTTTTTTAGATAGGAGACATCTGAAGATATTAGAAACTTTTTCTTTTTGTGACGGAATTTTTACGTATGAAGATGGTCGATGCCTTAAGGACGACTCACTTTTCGTTTTTTCATCAAGCATTAGGTTGCCCACCGTATTCCATAGAATTTGCGCTGTTAATCGATAGAATTTTTGAAAATGTTGAGTTTTTTGAGTACAGAAATGAATAAAAAGCCATTACCTGCACACGATGAAAGTTTATGCAGAAACTGTTTCAGGAAACTTGTTAGCATTGTGTCGTAGCAGTCACAGAAATTTTAGCACTTAAACTATGGACGAGAAAATAGCATATAAAATGAAACAAACTTGGGTGAAGTGTAAATCTTGGAACGGGTTTAAAATGAGAGCACGAACTTATTATTCCAAAAATTCTAATAAGTTTTTAACTATTAAAAACTTTTGCTATACATTACTTTTGCAGTTCAGATTCACTTATCTTTGTAAAACAGAAAAACTCTTTGGTTTGAAAGAGGTTGACTTTAATTTTTAATTGGAGAATTATTTGCAAATTCAAGGAATGAGACCAAAGTGCAGTGATAAAGCATTTGAAGTTAGAAATCTCCTGAGTTTACTTTTTGTGAAGCATACAAAATGGTAGCTGTTTTCTCAAGCATAACTTCTATTTACAGGAGTGATACTTTGTTGGCTGAATAGCGGTTTTAAAAATACTTTTTACAAACTTTTTAATTAAAAGAAATGAAATTTGCATCAATTCTTATTAAATGGCATGGTCACAAAGTTCTGTAATCAGGTTGGATGTGGTGTGTGGCCAAAAATCCTAAAAGCTCAGAGCGTGCGTTAAAGGTAATGTACTATGTACGGTATGTATTCATTATATAAACTTTTGAAACTTACCGGGATTTCAGCTCTTCCATTTACATAAAATCCCTTTTAGTAGCGGTACTTCACTAACAGTTTTCAAAAGCTATTTTATTCGACTAAACTTTTTGGCTGTTTTTGCTTTCTTAAGAGACCAGTCAGTGATTAGTCTTGATGCTGAAAATAACAATAAAAAGCCGTCACTTTTTGCCTGATATCAATTCAGCGATTGAAAAAACTTCATGGATTAAAGATTTTTGTGAAAAATGCAGAAGATATGCTGCGTTGGTAGGCGGCAACACTTACAATTTACCAATCTCAAAAGCAGCTGCTATGCGAGTGCTGAGGACGTTTGAAGTGTTGTGCATGAATAGAAGCCAAGCAAAGGCGTAGTTATTCGCAAGTTTATGGATAAGCCAAATTGGCTAAAAGGGAGGGGACAACAAGAGGGCTCGGACGGCGGCGTATCGATTAGATATCAGTCTTATTGTGAAGTGTTCATACGGCACAATTAAATTCTCGGCTAACACCTACTTCTATCACCATCCCAATAAATCTTCGCATTTTTTCCTCATCTTTATTGCCATTTTTTTGCATAAAGAAAGAAGTTTTTTACAGTTTTTCCTTAAGAAATTACTCCTTTTTCCTTGGCTTAATCTTAGATTATTCGTCATACCAAAACTGAAGTGAAATGATGTGAAATCTTAGAACCAAGAAAAACAGTGGTAGAGAAACATGGCTTGGTAATCAATTTTCCACTAACTCTTTTCCCACTCCTTCCATATCAGATTTGCAATAATTGTTAACCTCCTAGATTAAGGATGTAAAAATATCGTTGCTTAAGAATTCATTAACTGCCTAACTTTTCAAGAGTCAGTTTTTTTAGTATTTAATCAATACTGCTTTCTCTCCTTGAAGTCTCAACTTTTTCATTTAAAGAGTTCACCAATCAGCAATTAATTAATAAGTTTTGATGGTGGATCAATGAAACAGACTGTTGCATCATCATCCATTTTTTGATTACATTATCTTAATGTTGGAAAAAACTACAAAATATATCTTAACTTTCAGGTCATAAGTTATCAACGAAACTCTCAGCATTAAACATCTATCAGTAAACGGATGTCAAAAACTAGATTACCGAAAAAATGCAACAAAAAAACTATCAACGATATATCACGTAAAGAAATGGAAGAAGCATGTGCAGCATTTAATGTTGATGGCAAGGACTACATTCCCATCAAAGCACTAAAGGTAAATTTTTTTCGACTATCTTTTATAGCTTGATTGAAATGCATGTAGTTAAAGTACTTTTCAACATCCGTTAAAAAGGGGCACTTAATCACTGAAACGGGTGCTATATTCGGTACTATTTTTTTTCAGGTGGTAATGAGATCATTAGGTTTCGAACCTCGCCGCGAGGAGATACAAAGTTTGACAGCGAAAATTATGAAGAATGAAGCAAAACGAAAAACTCATCCAGGTTTGACCAAGTCTTTGTTCTTTACTCTAAAGACATTTGTGAACAAAGCCCGTAAGTTTACAAAAATTGTTTTCAGCACGAATGCCTTGTGTATTGGATAATGAAAACTTAAATCCAGGTTTTTTAGACTGTCTAAGCTTTGACGAGTTGTTCGATCTATTAAGCGATAAAATGGATGAAAGAAATAGTTTACTGGAACTAAAAGCAGCTTTTGATCTTTTTGATGCCGATTCTAAAGGTTACATATCTTTTGAAGACCTGAAAAAAGTTGCTGAAGAGCTTGAGGAAAATATTTCTGAGGAACAACTCCAAGTAAGTTAACCAAGGAGTTCTGGTACTCTTAACTAGTAACCGTTTACGAGTGTCCATAATTACAAATGCAATCGTTTAGACGGGAAAATGTTCACACCAATCAAACTTTTAGGAAATGATTTCGGAAGCTGATTCTAAAGGAGTTGGAAGTATTTCGGAAGAAGATTTCTGTACAATAATGAAGAAGACGTGTCTTTATTAAGTAAACCTGTATTCCCTCCGCAGCGCATATTGCATAATAAAGTCTCAAAGACACAAGATAAAAAACTTTTATCTTGAGTGGTTGATGCGCAGCATGCTTCATTACTGATGCTTTGTCTGGCTTCAAGTTCCAAAAGGCTATTAGCAACGAATTTTACACCAAATTAAGGGACGACCTCTGCAGGTATTTCCATAAAACTGCGATTTTTGAAGAGTGTAATACCTGCTCTCTTGTGCTTTAACACACTTTCCATTCGTTTTATTATTGTGCATGATTACAGTTCATTCGAACATTTGAAGTAGAGTTCTACACTCTTGTAAATTTAGCCAGGCAAGTAAATCCTAACACGGCTGCCTGAATTTTAATATCTTTGTACTCTTGACTTTCAAAAGCGATTACTTTTTACAAAGAATTGCTATAAAAACGGCTAAAATAGTTAAGACAACATATTTCTTGCAAGCAAAGAAAAAATTTTTACAACAGAGAATTATAAAAAATTTGTTCACGGCTGCTTAGGGATGACTTACCATTAAAAGAGTGAAAAATCAGAATTTTACGGGGTTTTTCATAACATGTCGATGCTGCTGTTCATCATGAAAACTTTTTTTTGCAATGAAATAGACAATACAGAAAACGAGTGATGATATACAAAGGAAGAGCAAAAGTAGACGTGTCATGAATTCTTTGCTATACGCTAAGCACTTATGACAGCCATTCTTTCCGCAGCATACTCAGACGACCACGTATTACATAATAGCTAATTTTACTGAGAAAAAGTCGAAATTGATGCAAAAACAAATCAGAAAAAAATTAAGTGAATGATGATTTTCCATTAGGCAGGAGAAATATAACGATCAGCAATACACTCCCTTCCAAAGTACCTACCTAACACTCTCGAATAAGTGACCTACATGGTTAGCAATTAATTTCCAATTCACAGCTATACTACGAAAAAGTTCTTCGTTAACACCAGGCAACCGTGGACTTCAAAGAATCAAAAAAAAGTGGCTACACGCGTTACTGAACACATTATGTGAACCAAATTTATGATGGCAGCCGTCTACACAAATCGGAAAGCTTCCACCGATAAACTAAATGTTTTTATACCTTCTTCATCACGAAAATCACATTTCTTTAAAAGCTGCCAGCCAAACACCATAAATATCTACAATATAATATGGTATGAAGATTTATTTGCGATTCAAAAGAAAGTAACGTAACATAAAATCAACTAAAAGCTATTATACAATTACGGCAGAAGATAAGGTATATCCTTCCTTGTCATTACAATGAACCTTACAGGAAAAGTTCTTTAGATTTGATTTTTAAGTAATAATCAAAGAAATAAAAAAAGGAACAAGGAGGAACGAGGAGCTATTCTGATGGGCACTCCCTATCTGCTCAACGAAAGAAAAGATGATATTTTATGTCCATAGTTGTTTTATGATATATATATATATATATATATATATATAT